TTCAGAATCAAATTCAAAGTCAGATAAAGCTGTACTATTAACTGCTGAAGCCATTGTTTCTTGATTCATATTTAATCTTCTCTTTGAAACCCACTTCTTAACTTCTTCAGATACCACAGGAGAAATGGCGCATAATTCCTTAACTTGAATATCAATAACACTCTTCATTAATTTCTGAACCACGTCTGTTACAACTCTTGGATTGTCTGCAAAGACTGGCCTTTCCAATTTATTCTTCTGTTCCCCGTGTCCTGGCATTATATAAGAAGGTCTAATTGTTTTATTTGAACCTTCCTTAATGTTTCTATTATCATCATCAGCATGAATTCTTCTTGAGCTTTCCTCCATTTCATTTATACCAGCTTCTTCAATATCATTTTCTATATCTAAATCCATACCATCATCAATATCCTCAGCTTCTTCATTAATAGTAACCTTCCTCTTCTTCTTAGGTTCAGCTTGAGTTACAGTCTTTCCACTACGTGTATTTGCTGTAATATCATATATTTTAGTTCCACCTCCTCCCAATAATTCATTCCCATTACTTCTTAATATTTCAGGCATCCTCCAATTCCCTTCAAGAATACCACAACTTGTTTTAAGCTCTTGAATTTTATCTTTCCCGTCATTTTTAGTAATAATAGCTGTAGGAGTTACAGGTGGTACTACAGGTGTATTAACATGTACAGCAGGAGTTGTTACACGCTGTTGTTGTATATTTTGACGTGTAGCATCATTGGCTTGCTGTTCAGAATATCTAATAACTTGCTGCCTGATTCCATCTTCTCCTTGCTTAAACATCCTTACATTTCCTGAAGGTAAGAAGAAACCATCCATCCTATCTTGCAATAATCCAGCTTGCTTATCTTGAATTACCCATCTACATCTTCCTACAGTATGTCCTTCAGTATTACAATACACACAAAAGACAGTACTTCCTTGATTTCCATTTGGAGGTGGTGGAGGTTGATAAGTATTTTGATTATTTGTATTTGGATTTTGAGGATTATAAGGTCTATTAACATTATTATTATTATAAGGCCTGCTGTAATTGGGCTGTTGTCCTTTATAATTCTGAGCTGGAAAATTACGCGGCTGATTATTAAAATTGTTATTATTATTATAAGGTTGATTAACTCTTTGATAATTTGACGGATTTTGTTGATGTTGAGCTCTAAAAGGTTCAGCTTGTTGATGGATTTGAGTTTGTAAAGAATTTGAAACAGGAAGATAAGGATGCAATGCATTTACAGGTGGTAATAATAATGGAGCCTGCACGTGATTTATATGTAAATTTCCCAAGTCACTACATAAAACCTCCATTTGCTGCGTGGCTTTTGCTTGCATTCCTCCTATTTTAGCAACTTTATTACTAGTATCCTTTTGAATTACTTCACTTCTAACACCAGCAATTTCATTCTTAATTGCAAACTTCTCTTCTCCAATATCCTCAAAGATTAATAAAGCTTCTTCTTCAATATAATGATCCACAACCTTCTTTAATTTATTTAAATTAGGTAACCTATATCTTCCACTATCCACCTTCTTCATTAACTTCTTTCTAATCATTCTTTTCTTGAATTTCTTTTGAAGTTCATCAGAGAAAGCATCATAGAAATGGCGTGCAACTTCTTCATCATTTGAATCAATATAATCATGTCTTGTTAAATATTGATGAATTTTGTCGAAATTAATTCTAAATGTTTGATATTCAGCTTTATTTGTAACACCACCAGTCCTAGCAGTTCTTTCTGACAAAGTTCTTAAATGATCAATTGAATATCTTGGTTGCTCCGTGGTAGTTTGATACCTTTCAATTAATTGTTCCTTAACTTTCTTCCAACTCCATTCACCAGTACCCCAACCATCCATTTCACGTATTTCCTCCTTCAATTCTTCTCCAACAACAAAGCTAGTAACTTGTCTAACCATATCAAGTTCTGAGGCGCCATTTGCTTCAGCTTGACTATGATAATTAATGATAAACTTCTTAACATTCCTTCCAACTTCAAATCTAATACTTGAATCAGTATTATCAATTCTACGTGGTTTAATATGACTTCTAGCCTCCTCATTCCTTTCTTCACTACTAACATCTCCATTACTAGTTGAATCATCATCTGAAGAACTTGAAGAACTTGAATAATCTCCTCCATCATCTTCTTTAATAATTTTCTTAATAACCTTCTTGCCTTTACTCTTTTTCACGACTTTTACCACTTCTTTTTCCTTCTCCTTCTTCTCTCTTTCTTCCTTAATTCTATTATTAGTAATAATGTCTGCCACTTCTTTTTCTCTTTGTAAATAATATTGTTGTTGATTATAGAATTGTTGTTGCCAATCCACGTCTTCCTCATGATCAGAGGGTAATAATGGTTCCTGTTCCCTGAATCCAGTAAAGGCTGAAGGTGGAATTGGATCCTCAGAAGCAGGTGGTTCTTCACGTTGTTTTCCATGAATAGTTGATCCAGAGGAAGGTCCTGGAGGTGGTGGTGGTGGTAATATGTTAATAGAAGTAGAAACATCTGGAACATAAACTCTGCTTCCAGAAATTCGTGGAGTTCTTTTATAATGAGATGTTGGTGGTAATTCTAATTCCTCATCTCCATCATCCGCCACATCTTGATTATGCATTTGAATAACTGAAGACATAGCTTCTTTATATAATAAATTCTTCAAATAAGAACTAATTTTGATATATTTTTAAATGAGAATGAAAGATAATGTTTATGATTGATTTGAATAATTTTAATTTTAAAGATCTTCTGTTGATAACCACGTGAATAATTTTTATTGAATCTTGATGTAATATAATATAATTTGCTTGTTGATAATGATTAAAAGAGAAATTGATTTAATTATAAGTTGATTTTAATTTGTCAAGCCCGGGCAGAGTCACCAATATGTAGAACTTATAACCCAACAAGGGTTATACAGAGCTGGAAGAGGATAATCTACTAATAAAATGACTAGTAGAAGTTGTCTAAGGACTGCTCTTCTAAAACAACACAATCAGAAAGAGCTCTGTTGTATTGAGTACTGATAAGGCACCAGAGAAATATAACTTCACACGTAATTTTAACTTCAAAAGCACACTTTGTATTACTATCAACACTGCTATAGTGTTATTCCCAATTGATAACTGAAAAAAAATAAGCAATATCTGATTGATATTATTCCCAATAAGTCTTTATGACTATAAAACTAAAGTAAATTTCTCTTTATAACTGTAATAAAGGGCGTATTTAAGTGAACAGGTACTATTAAAATAAGTTTATGATGATAAACAAAATAATAATGGCGTAAATGATAAAGAAAAAAAAAGGGGAACAACAGTCCCAAAACCCTCTCAAAGTATATATAACAATGTACTAGAACTTTTACAATGGTCAACAGCCTCAAAACCAATCAAATCCGCCCAAAATTCCCTAAAAACCCTATGATGACGCAATGTAATGGTTTTGTTACTAATAAATGATGTAATTTTCACAGCTAAAAGTGATCAATGACGCAATAATATGATGTACAGCACTTCTTATGATGAATACAGGTGATTTTTTCCTTGTAAACTAGCTGAAAACCAATTTTTGAGATTACGAATTTTTTCAGATGTGCTCCAATTTTTGATTACTAAAGTGCATCTTGTAGTCCACGTGTTACTGATCATTTCTGACACCTACATGACCTACTTCTGATGAGTGATGAGTAAGATATTGAGTTGTGAAGTTAAGGTTTTTAGTGTTACATATGACTTGTGACTGTAAATTCGAGATTCACACCAATTCTTTATTTGCCTTATAACTTTTTACACACACCTCCGTTACTAATGATTTAAAGTTTGTACATTATGTAATCTACTCCTCTGCGTTGAATGAGCCATCTACCAACCTATTCTGACGTCATTTGACATATGTAATTAGCTGAAAACCTCCATTTTCCACGAATTTCACCCATTTTCTTCACTTTTCACAGCTACTACTAAGCCTTTCTTGCTCATGTAATATTACATCATCATCTATAGCCTTAAAAATCCCGGAAAATCCTCTTGGCAACCTTAAATTCCATCACTACCACTATTACACAACCAAACTACACGTGTACCTCTTGTTTACCAACTTCGAAAAAGTGCTTTTTTCCTAATAACTTCTGTTTCTACTTATCAACCTTGAAGATTAAAATTGTCATAGTATCATATAATGTTGTTCTTTCATATTCTAACCTCATAATACCCATAACTTTATTTTTACTAACCTAAAAACCATTTTCCAACCTTTATACCTATAATTTCGAATTTTTCTTATGTTTTTCTTTCTTTCTTTTTGTAATAAATTTGTAAGTAAACTAGAATGATCTTAATATATAATGTGAAATAAAATGATGTAATGTTGACCTAATGACCAATACATAAGCCTACAAGAGCTTCAATTGATCAAAAACCTCCATTTCGAATTTTCTTTCCTGCTGAATCCTGCTAATAAACTGGTAAACTGGTAATTGTGAATTTTTTAATTGATCCCATAAATTGATCACCACACCGCCTAAAAAATGGCCACACATTGATCAGTTGTGTGTTCAATTCAGCCAATGAGTTTTAGGGAGATCGCCTGACTGATGCCGTTGAAAGATCCCATCTGAGATGGCAAATTCAGCCCATCGGGGAGGTCAAGGGACTCTCGCCGATGAAATTGGCCGCCTGGAAATAGGCGTGTCAGCTGCTGCATCATATAAAAGGTTGAATGACTGACTGTAGTACGAAGGTTCTGCACTCATGTCGAAAGAGCAGCCAGTTGGGATTTGGCCGGCGATGATTTTTGGATGTGCGATGATGCTTGCAAGCGCAAGAAACAAAGGTTGAGCTTGCCGGGGGCGCAAAAAAATGGTTTGCATTTTGCGCCACAGTTTGAAAATTTTCACCCACGCTGCGACCTTGCGCTGTGCGTGAAATTCGATTTCACCTGCTTAATCGAAATTCCCCCTTGTTTCTCTTCTCCCTCGCATCAATGTCACAATCCAACTCTCACACCGAACCAGCTGGGAAGCGCAAGCGCGAATTTGCCCTTGGGTTTGCTATGGCCTCGTGAGTATAGGTTTCGTTGAATCACAACGTACCAACCGTTATGCTGATCTTGTTCATTGTTTTTGTTTGGGGGTCAGTGATGCAGAGTCATCGGATTATGTCTCTCCGATATGCCTGGAACCTCCGGCGTCCATGGAGACTTCGCAATTGGACAAACTAGCGCCTACGCAAGAGGACGACGAAAATCCACCTGCCGAACCTGGGATGGGTGACGCAGAGGTCACCATTACCCGCAATGCCATTGAGGCAATACATAAGCCGCACTTATTTGATCAGATTTCAACGGCCTACACCCAGTGCCTGACTTCATATGTCTATGTAGAATTACCCATAGATGGTGGCTATGTGATGTTCGCTAGTCTGCGCCGTATCATGGCCAAAACTACCTTGGAAGATTATCTTCGTTTCGCATGTTTGGACGAAGACAAGATCGACAATGTACTTCCAATACTTCAGGGAAACGGGGTTAATCATTTTGATTTATTCTTATTTGTGGATTATGTGAATAAGGATCAGCTGCGTAAATGGGGGATATCTGTGGGGACATGCGCTCGAATAATGGTTCACACGGTCATGTTCTATCAATTCCACGTTCAGAAGGGGGCATGAAGGCGTTCATACCCCCATTCCTTTGTTGTTGTTTTGATATGTAACACGTCGATTCGTATACTGGATATCGCGTTTAATGCTTCAGATCTACAATTACTTTATATAGTTTCAAACACTGCACATATGGCGATATCGTGTCATATGTGCAACGAGTGTAATGAGAGAGACTCCATTCATTCCGATTGCCTCGCTGCCAACCATATCGGACAGGATTGTTTGCCAAAACAATCCTTTCCATATCAATTTGTTCCGATATGGAAACAATTGTGGCCACCTTATCGGAAAGATATGATGGCCATTACGCGTCCTTACATAAAGGCCTTTGAACGTCAATTGCCTCATATCTCGGCCCTTTCCTTACATTCCCTTCCATCCCATTTGTTATCGTTGTCCTAGCCCAATGAAGATGGTACGCGCCCTAATTGAACCGCCGCGATTGTCATCATCCATGGTGGCGACGTTAGAGTTACTCTATGATCAAGGACATCATCTTGAAGAATATGATCACATGCTCGTTTATATGGATCACGAGAACATGGAACAACACGCCAACACCATGCCTCGCTTAAAACGTAATGGTTCCAATTACGCGAGCTGGCTCTACTGGGTTAATGAAGAATATCGGCGATTCACTCGTAATCCTGTGTACTTGTATGAATCCAAATTGCACATCTCGTCACTGCATGAAGCGCTTGCGGACGAGGTCCTTTTGGCCATCATATGTGCCACGGTTCATCCCAATGTCCTTCCGTTGGTTCAGATGGCCTCGTGCGCTCACGACGCTGTCATGTGGGTCAACTGGTATCACGCCTTGGACGGTGAGTATCTACTGTATCAATCTCAAACCTTGTGAGTAGGAAACGTACTGATCCCTACTCACCATCAGTACCCAAGGTTTGAGACGGTTTCCACCTCCCGTGAACCATGTCAGGACATGACGTTCAGGTACGGCGAGTCCTGTGGGTATATCTCAATCTTACGTCTTACTTGGCTGGGGTTTATTGACCTTGTTTACTCTCTTCTCGCATTAGCCAATCAATCGGTCGAGACATAAGGCCCAAAGGAGTCTGGCGAGTGTTTAAGGCGCAGCCTGGTGTAGAATGTATGCAGAAAGATTTGGGTATAAGTTTGGTTTTAGCAGTAGGATTATCACTTTGTCAATTTTTTTTGCGGAAATTACAAATTGGGGAATTTTTAGTGCGCATGTGGTGATATATTAGTTTTTGACCAAGTTGGTGATTTTGATGGCTCAAGTACATTATATTTTTATCTTTGCAAAAAACATGTGGTGGTGTCTTTCAACATCAACAGCTGAATAACATTATGAATATGTACCATTATTAATGGTCCGCATTGATAATATTATTACCTTGGTATCAATGGTCCGCAGTAATAATATTATTACCTTTGGTTGCTGGACGTGGTTCAGCTTTCCATGTGGTGAGTCCTTGTTTGATGGCCTTCTCCCAAAGTTGAGGGGACACAGCGGAGAGCTGAAGATCTGAAATTTGACAATGTACATTTCCATTGTAATGGGCGCCGGCATTGAGGATGAAGGAATTTGATTCCACATGGTCAACCCCCCACAGACCAATGGTGGTAAGCCTTCTCTCAATCCTTTTAAGGTGGTTTTTGGCCAAGTTACAAAGTGAATCATGGCAGTTATGTTGCATATTCAGCAAGCACACAATATCCTGGTTGCCAAATGTCAATACAATATGTATGCCTACTTGAAATATAACTCTCTCAAACTTACTTTGACATTGATGAGTGTAATTTCCTCAGTTACTTTGACTTCCCGCATGCCATAGCAGTGATTGATTGGCCCCTTTTCACAGATTTTGAGGACAAGATGAGTGCGAGTATCAGAGACACCCTCGAGCTTCCAAATTGATTGGACACGTCCCACTTGCAGCGGGGAGTTAACCTGTAAGACACCACATTTAAATCAATACCTGCGACTGGATTATATCAATTGGATCAAATGTTACCAAGACAAAGTCGTTTATTTCCACCTGGTGATGCCCAATTAGCTTCACACTTTCGTACTGTCGTAACTTTTGACGGTCCACAATCATTGGTATGCAAGGAGGTGCAACCAATTGGAACTTGCACAATGCTGTGAAACACAAGGCAGTTAGTAGGATTAAGGGACACAAACAAATGTGAACTGCTTGCTCACGGCCAATGGAGTAGTTTGAAATGTTGCCCAAAGACGTGTCCAGTCCCATTGCTTGAAACAACTCAGGCACTTGCAGTAATAATGATTTCAATTGTGGGGCACTAGATACCCGAGCTTGCAGATCCTTGTCAAAAAAGGAAGAACCGGAGACGAACATCCTCATCAACACTTGAGTGTTTGATGTGTTTGCTATGTCTTGCCCCGGGCTTTGATGGTTTGAATGGATGGATTTGTGTTGAGTGATCCCATTGAAAGATTCCAGTTTTTCAGTTGCAAATAAACAGGCCGGTCCAAACCTACGAATCGAGTCTTGTAGGTGAACAAGCATGTGAAACTTGGGCTTGTTGACCCAGCGAGCATTGAGGGCCACCAAATTTTTGAGAAATCTGGATATGGCGATGTCCAGTTTGGCTAGATAGGATTCCATGTTTGGTATTTCTGTCTGAAATATATAAGATCCTAGAAGACAAAGAGATGTCCACATTTCGCGTTTTTCCTCGGAAAGGTGTTTGAAAAGCACAAATGGGACGGTCTGTAAAACCGTTCGGAACTCCTTACCGACCAGGCTCTGATAGTAAGTAATCATTGTGTTTGGTTGAATGGGTGCCATCTTTAATCCGCTGGTATTGAAGGATCTCCATCGACCTGAAAGATTGTTGTAGGTTTTGGAGCCGGCCTTGATATTCCCCAGCTCCTTCATCGTGTCGCGGAAAAGATACTTTGTGGTACCCAAAAGTGCCACACGGAGAACCTCAACTGGAGTGTCTTTGTGACCATCAAAGCCTACCAACATAAGAAAAGACCTCAGCTTATATCAACTGCAGATGTATTATGTTAAGACATCATCACCTTTGAGTCTCAACATAGGATTGAAGATATGTTCACCATGTTCTTCCTCGATGTCTTGACAGAGTTTCTCGACGTCAGATGTAGGAAGACACTCGTGTGCTACTTGAACCTTTTTCTGGAAAACTTCGTTCATAGGATCGCGAACTCCAAAGTCACGGCTCATCTTCTCTACTCGAGTCTTGGTGTTGCGCTTTTGAGAGGTGTTCCAAATTTCCTTAGTCCACCGTCTAGTCTGGTCCCAATCGCGGCCAGGCAGTAGGGACTATAGTGTGTAATCAGCATGAGATTGTGGCCCAACATAGGAATGGAGTCATACCTTCTCTCCATCTTCATCTAGGCCAAGGAAGTCTCTGACAAAATTGTCAGATTGTTTGTTGGCCTGCTTAGCCACGTGTAGATCACACATACGACATGGAGTCAGGGTGTTCGCAGGGTTGAGAGTATTTGAAATTTCTGCATGCATAGGGGAGTCACCAAGGTGGAAAAGTGATACAGCCATTACCAACACATCTGCACCAAGATGTTGGTCATATGCAAAGAATCCATTGGTTCCGTAATCACTACATAAAGGAAGGCCATGTTAATACCCAGGTAGACCTGTTTGGAACCCATAGTACCTTACTTTAGATCATCAACAACCTGATCAAATAGCTCCAAAGCTGTGGCACAATTGGATGTGGCCAGGAAGTGGATGTTGAATTCCTGATTTGATAGACTGGACGGTAACCCAGCCAGAGTGAAGTAGATAGACATGTGTTTGTTCCACTTTTTCAACACATTTCCAGAGGTGTCGTCCAAATAAAGAGCCAGAGGTACATGTCGGATCACTTTCCCTTGTGCCTTGGCTCGCCATGGGTTTTCGATAGTATTTGATGGTACAGTTTCTTCCGCCGAATCTGCCAGTAGATCACCAGGCCCAGGAGGTTTTCAGTACAATGAAATCACCCTAAGAATTTTAAGACAGATTAGACCCTACTTACAATACATATGATTGCCTGAGATGCTTTTCAAAAGCAGGCCATTCTCCATTTCAATGTGTGCAAAGGTTCGCCAGAAGTCTTTGCAAGGAATGGTGAAGAGCGAGTCAGAGTCAAAAGAACAATCATGAGGAATAATCACTTTGAGTTTCCCTGGATGATAAGGATCCGGTTTGACAACTGCAGGTAGACACTTTGCCATCAGACAATGGTCTTGTTGGAAGAAAAAAACAGGCACTACGAGCTGCTGAGTTTTCAGTTGGACTGGCTCATAGATGTAGAAGTGGAAATTGTTGACCGATATCATTTGCACACGTAGATTGGGTGGGTAATCTTCACGCCACTTTGCGCACTGAGATAGACGGTTGATTGGGCCATCCAAGGTGAGCTCGGGTACATATACCAAATATGGGCTGACTAAGGGGTTGGCCAACTCCTGTGAACACAAATTGTTTACATCATTACGGCGTAGACAGCTTGATTAATGAAAGCAGGCTCACATTACTTATGATGGATTTCATATCCAAACCAAACAGAGGATTACCCCATGGACTCGTCCGTTCACGTATGTCAAGACCAAGCTTTTTCTTCAATCTTTTTACAAGTGCCCTCAAAGTACCCCAATCTGGCAGGGTGACTCCCAGAATACGTAGGAGGGACCTTATTCGCTGATATTGGACACGCGAGAGGAGATTCCTATTTGATCCAATCATGAGCAAAGCTACCACATGCTGTGACCATAGAAAAGAATCAATCAATGTCTAGTCATGCAATATAGAGCAGCCAGTTACCTCTTTCTTTTTGAAGGGGTACCAATCAGCTGCCTCTTCAGCTCTAATTCCTGAAAGCTCAAGGTCCAGCAGATCCTCATAGGCGGCTTCATCTTCATGATCATCAGTTCCGGTTTCCAGTGCTTCAAAGGCATCACGAAGCTTATTGAAATCCATGTGCAAGCCAGAGTCATCGGAATCATATTCAATGTCTTTGGTTTGGCCAAAGGACTGGAGGAGCAAAAGTGGAGAAGGTGGGTTGGATGACGGTTCGGGCAAGTCCACATGATTTCCATCGTCTTCGAAATAGCGGTTCAGGTCCATTGCATAACACTACACGAAATATAATATTTTCTGGGCAGAAAATTAAATTATTGATACACAAAAATATTGAGAGGCCAGGAGAAGGGCAAAAAATAAATAAAAATATGCATCTTGTTCCCTGCGGTGAGAGCTTCACTCTCCATATTTTTCCATATTTTTACAGTCCGTATTGATAAGTGTACTAACAATAAACCTTCATAATCATCCAATTACAACCTGTAACAAGCACTGAAATTTGGCTCATTAGTGTTTAGAGAAACTTTTGATTTCTGAAAACACCTATAACTTTGTCAAATCTGCCTCAAAACACTCGATTTTAAGTGCATTAGAAAGCTGAACTCTTCCTCTCGATTTTTCATAAGATCAAGAACTATGTAGCTAGTATGACAATCATTCTATGGATCTGTATGTACAAATGTATAAAAAAGATGATATCTTTTTTAGCAGACCAGCATGCTGTGTGGTCCTATTATGAACTATTTGGAGGACAATTCCAGCTTACCAATGCACCCAAAATCGAGCGTTTTGGACCGGAATTGAAAAAGTTATGAGTATTTTCAGAAATCAAAAGTTTCTCTAAACACTAATGAGCCAAATTTCAGTGCTTGTTACAGGTTGTAATTGGATGATTGTGAAGGTTTATTGTTAGTACACTTATCAATATGGACTGTAAAAATACGGAAAAATATGCAGAGTGAAGTTCTCAACGCAACGAACAAGATGCATATTTTTATTCATTTTTTGCTCTCCTCCTGGCCTCTCAATATTTTTGTGTATCAATAATTTAATTTTCTGCCCAGAAAATATTATCTTCCTTGTAGTGTAAGGTGTTGGTGGTGTAGGTGGTATGTCTATAGGGGGCAGAAACTGCTGACGGAGAGCTCTGTCTTCTGCTTGTCTGAGCAGGAATTGCTCCGCTGCTCGTGAGTGCGCCTGAGTCCCAACATGAGCAGAATATGTTTTCATAGTCCGGCTTAGTGGGCACACTTCACATTGATATCTCAATGGACTCTTGGATTTCTCAACAATGACTAAGAGCGTGTTAGGAATGAAGAGGCAAGTGCCAATTATAAATATACAGCCTTCTTTGATATGTGCAAGGAAAATGAC